ACTTAACGGATAACGATGAAATTACTCATACATATAGAACATAGTCTTGAAGAACACAAAGGACAGTAATTAACTACTACTTTTATGTCGCACGGACGGAGTCGTGTGCGACAGCTAGTAATAAAATATTCTCGTTCAAAACATAGACAAAATATAATCCGTTCCGTTACCCGTTACGTTGAAGCGCCATCTAGCATACCTATTTCTTGTTGCGTGTTATTTTTGGCGCGCTATCGCTTTGGCGGGAAAGTAGGCCGTTAACGAGTCAAAGATCTCAGCCACGATAATAAAACTTGTTTTCACATTTACAGAAATGTTTGGTTAATTTCGTAATAAACATCAAATATGTTTTCTTTGTCTATTTTACTAATATTATAAATGCGAATGTTAAGAATAAATTTGGCATCGATTTAAAACACAGTTTGGAATAACACATAGGCTACTAATTATGATTTTTTTTAATTTCACGCGGACGGCATCGCAGACGACAGCTAGTGGGCTTCATAAAGAGCATCAAAAATTATTAATCAGATTTATATACGCAGTTTTAACTAATAAACAGGGTAGAGAGGAATAATAAAGCAGTTATGACCTATATAAATTAATTAATAAAAAAAAAACTCCAATCTCCTTTAAATTATTAATATTATGTTCAAGACAATATTACTTATCAAATAGACCAAAGTAAATATTAAAAATACTCACTAAATATGGGTTTCCGAGGCCAAAAATGCCGTTAAAAACATATTTCCATCTACATTTTGTCATACAAAGACAGGAATGACACATACAAAGATATTAATCTCGGAAACCAACTATAAGCAAACCTAGGTCAATTTTAATTAGACGATAATTAAATCTAGACAAACTTCAGTTGAGTTTGAAATAAAAAGTTTTTAATATGTATTACGTTTATTACGTGATACGGGTTCGATGCCCTTCAAGTGTTTAAACAAAATAAAAATAGTCTGGCAGCGTAGATTCTTGCTTCATAATATTTACTTTTTGAAGAAATTCCAAAGGTCATTGCATAACAGCTCTGCCTCGTTACAACGTCGAAATACTAATAACTAGCTGTAGCCCGCGAATCCGTCCACGGGGAATTAAAAATAACTTAATAAGCCTATGTGGTTTTCCAGACTATATACTACATGTGTGCCAAATTTCATCAAGATCCGTTGAGCCGTTCCGGAGACACCTTCAAACATCCATCCATCTAAACTTTTGCAAGTAAGGTTGGATGGATGTTTGTCAGATGGTATCTACAGAACGGCTGCATGAATGTCGCTGATTTGGCATATATGTAGAAGTCTAGAAAACCACATAGGCTACTATTAAGTTTTTTATATCCGTTCAGATGACGTCGCGAGCAACCGCTAGTATTGAGTGTTTTACTGGAAATATTTTGTAATTTAGCGTAAATTTAGTCTATGGTTTAAAGATTCAATGGGTTCAAGGTTCAGCCATAGATTCTTGAGATGGGGTGACAACTACATACTTTCATAATTATATAATAGATAAATAAATATATAAAAGAAAGTCGTGTTAGTTACACTATTTATAACTCAAGAACGGCTTTACCAATATGCCAGAAAAAGGGTGACGAGGTAGCTTAGAGCCAGGAGACGGACATAGGATACTATTTATTCATTTTTTTCTTCAATCTATGCCTTAAAGAGCTGCTTTTTATTTAACTTATCTATATATTAAGATTTTTATATATCCTCTCGGACGGAGCCGCGAGCGACAGCTATATTATAGTATATTATATAATTATCTTTTCAGTAAAATTGTTTTAACACAAATTAGTTCTATTTTTCCTCTGTATTAATCCACGGTTAAATTTAACCCGGTGACACATATCGTTTCACGGTCGACACCATATTTAAAATACTCGGAACCTACTCGAAGTTTTTAAATCACATTTTATAAACCTGCTCCGACAATAATTCATAAGAATTACCAACATTTAAAAAAAAAACTAACGACTCCGTTCGCGCGGAATTAAAAAAAAAATTAGTAGCCAATGTATTCCTCCAGACTATGTTCTATATCTATGTTAAATATCAGCAAGATCCACGCAGAAGTTCTATATTTTTAATATTAATAAGATTACTTCTCACTGATATTATAAATGCAAAACTTTAGATGTATATTTCAAAGATCCAGTTTACAACAGTCAGCGTCAAAATGGCTTAAATCAAACGGGCACAAAACACTACAACGCATAGCCTGTCCATGTATACAGTGAGTTGTACCCTAAAGTCAATGTCAGAGTGACGCTATATTGACGGCACTAGAAGTCACGTAGGCGTCTCCTCGGCGGGGGGCCAAACCTCGGGCGGCAGTGACATACGTGACATCATGCACAATATTAAACTATATTTAAAAAATCATACTATTTCACTATTCTATCTCAAAATCTATAGATAATAATAAAATTATATTGTCTGTATGTAATGTCATAACGAATTGTTGTACTTATTTAGAAAGAAAGACAGCTGATGCATGCATATTAAAAACTACTTTTTTATTTCAAATAATTACATTTTTTTAATAATAAAAGGTGATTGATGATCTTAAAGCTAATCTATTTCCAAAGATATGTTTTTAATTATTATTATTACTTGATAATATCCCAAATATATATTTATAGCTATATACAAAAGAAAAAATATTGCATTCATATAAAAAACAAAAGCTTTAAATTTCATTCTCTATAACCACAATGCCAAAACATAGAAAAAAAAACAAGTTGACCTTGTAACTAACAAGTTTAAATACTATATACGCAATTAGTTGTATAATAAAGAAAATAACATAACTACATTAGAATATATTGTAAAAAATATATATACTATGTTTTTCTTTTTATATATCAAATGGTGGCAATAGCGAAGTGACTGTTGCCCTTAGACATACACAATCGCATATGTGTTGCCTACCTTTAATCGACGGAGGAGAGGATGCACAGAAAGAAAATATTTTCCCATCCCATGCAAACTCTCATCCGGAAAGTCCACTTCCACTTCCCATCCTTTCCTTCTAAGAAAAAGGATGGGAAGGGAAAGAGGACTAAATTAGGCCTCCGGGACGCACACTCAACAGACGAAACGCGGAATTGCTTCCACTTCACGCCTGTCTTCTGTGTGGTCGTGGTATTTCACCGGGCGAGCCCGGCCGATTCGTGTGAAGATGTTAAAGTGGGCTCTACCACTGTTCTACCAATGTAACCTGCAACTTCATACTCGCAGAAAAAAAAAACCTTAATAAGTAGCCTATGTGTTCTTCCAATGTTCTATATGTATACCAAATTTCATCAAGATCCCTTCAACTGTTATGGAGATACCTTCTATAACAAACATCTAAAGATTTGCATTTATAATACTAGTAAGATGTTTTGCCTGATGACGCATTCACAAAATTATTTCTTTGCAAGCAAGCAAGGTGATATATATCCAGATATTATACATGTATGTGAGAAATAAATGCAATTCATAATTTGTCGTAAATATTAATTCAAGTTTGTTAATACAGCTGTTTTATATGAAAAATCGCAAATAAACCTACATTATTCATAAGTCTTCTTTTAATATAAATGAGAAAATTTGGATTGAAGTTATTCATATAGCTTCATAATGGTTAAATTATTCTGGATGAAGTTTGATGACAAACAATGTATAAACACATAGTTTGCTAACTTACTTTCTTTTATGACAAAAGAAACAGCTGCCGGTAACATTAGTTACAGACTAGTACAAATTAATACTATAATTTTGTGAACGCTATTAGAATCTAACTGAACATATCATCAGCTCACTATACATCGCCACTGAGGGTCTCAGAGCCTATCCTGAGTGACTATGTGATAGTGAATGCTGGCCCAGTGCGGGTTGATTTCACACATATCTTTGATTTTCTCAGGTATGTGCAGCATCACAATGTTTTTCTACACCATAAGAACATCAGATAAATGTTATGTAAATATACATTGGTAAGGCAAGATTCTAGTCTTACATACTTAACCCGAATCACCAACACTTATTTTAAACAGAAAATAATTTTATTAAAGATATTTTGCAACTTGTGCAATGACATGATAAATATTGAGGACAGCGAGGACAAATTGATAAAACAAGCAATTTGAATTTTAGACGCAGTATTCATGATAATGTGTCAAACAAACTTTATGGCAGAGACTATACACATATCTTTTGTACAACAATGCTTTCATCTAGTTTTTATATAATCTGTTAAATATTTAAAAAGATAGGATAATGACGTAGATTTTATAGACACACACTGTAGATAAATAGTAATACAAATGGACAAAATAGATATGAAATCAAATTATAATTTTCTCATCATCAACTTGCCCTTATCCCTATAGAGGGTGGGCAAGGAATGTACTCCTCCATACATCTCTATCAGCCGTCATATCTGAATCCACCCCCTTCTTACACATATCCTCTTTCACACAATACATACTATTTTTGGTCTTCCCTTATCTTTGTAGCCAATTTAATCTCATTACTTTATTCATATCTTCCTATTTCCGTTGCTATGACAGTATCAGGAAGTGATGACAAAACTTTAAATCTATTTATAAATTACGCAACAGACATGTTTTAACTTGACGGACAACAATAAAACCAAAGAGAAGTTTCCAGAGAACTGTTACTACTAAGATTTAATATTAACAATAGCATTAATAACGTATATTAAACAAAAATGTCGTTTTAGAAAATACCTTTGTAATATTAGAAATGTTTAAAACTAACTTTCTCTACAATAAGCAATCTACATGTTAGGTCGCGAACTTATAAGGCTAGGGAGCTTTCGGATTATGCAAATTTAAAGCTATTCAAAGGACAAAGAACGTATTGGTTGACCCAAAAACTCAGCCAGTTTTGAGGATATAGTGGCCATAAACTGTTAAATTTTTGCAACGATTAGTTTAGAATAAAAACTAATATGTGTAAAGGCAATTTCAAACTTACCCGGATACTTCCGTGGGTGGTGTTTGTGTAAAAAACTCCTTATGTGACGAGAAATTTTGTTTCTCCGTATGCAACAAGATTCCAATAGAAATTGACAGATAACTGATGGTCGACTACAAGTTCCAGAAAAAAATGGCGGACCGATTTTAAACCGATTACGTCATTTCGCGGGAAATTTGAAATTGCCGTTACAATAAACTTTTAATATTAATTATTAATAAATTGCACATCTATATTTTTAAAGAACTTACCTCATAAAGGAATCCGTAATGTTGAAAAGCCGATGGCTTTATTTGCTGGCTAACACATCAGTAATAAATGTCGAATTCAGTCCAAATCCGTGCGCTGTTGCCAAACCGTTATTGCGTCAGATAAGGAATATCTTTCTAAAACACACATTTCAATGCACAAAAGCATTCCTTGGATACGTTTCTATCAAATATTTATTGAAATAATTCAAAATGAATGCTATAATATCAAGATTAAGTAACGTTAGAACAAAGAAAGTACAACAACCGTAAGGGCGGCAACGTCGCTTCCACTATGATTGTGATGAACAAAGAAACAGTCTTTTTTCTCCTGTTAAGTCAAACTGTTCCTTATTTACCTCCTCCAATAATTAAGTTACGTTACTATTTTAATTAATAACTTGTAAAAACTTTTAACACAACAATCCTATGCGATCAACGTTACAAAATTAACTGACCTAAACTCTTCGATCTTCAGTCGTTCGAGTTGTTTTTGTTTCGAGGCTGTGTAGTAAACAAAGTCGAAATGTTGCCATAATAAAAAATGGGAATACTTGGTAGGAATTATTTTCAGCTACATTTTGGCGTATTGTTTTAATTATTACAATTTTTATAAAATAAACTATAGAATATAAAAAAAAAACTTTCTGTGACACCCTTGAAACCATTTTTTTTATTTTGTTTAGTTATTTTGTGCAACTTCAATGTACAGTCAGCTTCGTTCGCAGTGTTCCAGTTTCAATAAAATGCTTCGCAACTAACACTTCTTTGGATGTTTATTATTGTTGTTTTGTAGGTAAATAAGGGACTTAATTATAGGTAAAAATAAATACAATTTATTGAAAAATATTTATTTCATTAATTAATATAACAATCTATTTACAATTTTTAGTAAAACATACATATAAAATATATTTGTTAGTTTATTTCATCGAAAAAAAAGTAAAAAGGTACATATCCAATTAATTCATAATTTGAGTTATTATTTTGTGATATATCCATATAAAAAAATAAAAGCTAGTAATTGTACGACGAAACCTATCAATTTTATTTATATTTTTAATTTTAATAAACAATAAAAGATTAAATTATATCAGATCGAAATTCGAAACTGAAGGGAGATCAATTTTCGACATTATTGTGTTCGTAATAATATATTTTATAATAATTCAATTATTATGACTGCTTTGTAAACTAATTATTATAATATTTTAACAACTTACTGAATTATGCATTATAAAAATAGACTCTGAAATTACATAGACTTACCATGGGTTTCTGAGACTCTAAATCTCAGTTTAAAACATGTTATCTCTGTTCTTACAAAGATAATGACAGGGATGACGATATGTTTTATACAGAGATTTTGATTTGAGAAACCAATGGTGAATCATTATAACTTAATCTCATGTAATTGATGTTGAAAATAAAAAAAAATATGTTAGTAAAAATACTAAATAGCCTTAAAACTATGTAACCAATTAAACTTGTTCATGCAAATTTACATAAAAATATTTCATGATTATTTATTAAGGCACTTATGGTTAAATATCTTGATACTTACAGTTTTTCATTCTTTCTGTGTTGCAAAAATATTTATTAAATCCATCCAACAGTTAAAGTTACATCAAAAACTCGTTGATTAAAACTAACTTAGCTTTAAAACATACATTTTTGTCAGTGACTTCAATATCCACTGGTTAGGTTGCCGCTTTGAAAAATCAGATTTTGCATTTAAAGCACCTTTAACAGTTACTAACAGCGTCAACATGGTTAAAATCAAACAGGCACAAAAACCACGGCTTACAGCTTATCCAGTGAGATATAGAGGTCAGTGTTTTGTAGACAACAGGCTTCACATTAATATAATTTAAATTTAGACAATAACAACTCTATTTGATAGATTTTTTTTTAAATTTTAAAATACTACCGAATTAGTACAATTTTTTTTAGCATGGTAACACAGTGTCAAAAATAATGACATTCAAAATATACAAACATTTCAAAGATTTCATCTTTTCCACAGCCGTATCCAATTAATTTTGAAATCAACAACATTCATAACATATAAAAAATACCAAAAATTACATTTTAACAATAATTTTAATTGTTTCAATTAGATTTTAAAGCAAATTTGACTTTTATTTAATCTTTAAAAATGTCTTGTCTTGGATTTACGAAATCCTCCTCAAGAAAAAAAAAATACGCAAATCTTGCAAAACCTTCAGAGTTCTTTTATAATTAATTACATAAGTGTTTTCATTAACAATACGAAATAACGTTAGTAAAATGGACTCACGATTAGACGTCAAACTAATACGAGACACCTACAGATAATGAATAATGTATATTTATTCAGACGAAAATATAACATTTAATTCTAGACTTAAACTATACTTAAAACTTATAAAGATTTTTTTAAAAGTAATCAGGTTAGTTATATGCTGATCGACATAAAATTTTATAATTTTAAAACACATATTTTACTAGTGTTTACTATAAAACTAGATTAAATCCACGTACAAGTGTATTTATATATTTTACCAAACATTTTAAATCCGGTGTGCATAAATCAAACCAAATTATGGCAACTCACTAGCTCCTGTTACTGTCAAAAGAGTGTCACAAGATCTTTTTCGTAATGTAACTATAGTCAGTCTATTTAAGATAGATTAGTTTGACAATTAACTAGATATGGATTAAGTAAAATATATTAGGAATTATTTAAATTTTCTATGTTTGTTCTCATAGAACTTGCAATCGAAAATTTCGTGAATATTAATTTTGAATAACAATATAAAGTTTATTTATTTCTATTCATACTTTATCCTTCATAACTACATAAAGAAATAAGGCATTAAACCAAAAGCTGCTGTGTTGACGAACAAAAAGGTTTTTTTAAGTTAATAGTGCGATACATAGCCAAATAACTGCAATAAGTTCAAAAAGTTATAAAATGCCTAAATTATAGTACCCATTTTTTGAGTTAACATTACAAGAGCGATTCGTTGTGCGCGACAATTCGACATTATGACAACCGTCCATTAAGTACAACATTAATCCTCATACAAAATTAATTAGATATTTTATAGGCGTCAGTTGACAAACTAATCTATCTTAAATAGACACACTATAGTAAGGTAATATAATTTATCAAAGTTTTAATTTTAGTGTGACTCGACTACCAAAGAACTTATAACACATGCTATCCTTTTCATTCTCCTTATAAAAAACAGAGACAGCATCTATCAATAAAATTGCTGTCAGATTTCAAAGTAAATTAGTCTTTATTACTAATAGATATAAAGAATATATTTCAACGGCATTTCTTCAAAAACTCCAATACTTCGTGAGGGTAATTCTGTCTGGTTGTAGATTTTATAGCAGAACGAGC